AATGAAGAAGTGGCCTAATACACATCAAAGAAAATCTAAATCGAATTTTAGGAAAGCCCTTTCTAACTCTATTCAACTCCTTTGGAGTTTTTTAAATACAATTGTTGGCAGGGAGCTAGGTATAATTAATGCTATATCAGTGCAATGGCTTACACTTGAGCTCTTGAAACCCTTCCAGTCCTACTTTTGTATTATTCTAACAGTCAATGCCCTGGCTTGCAAGTGCTCCACTAAAATTAGAAGTCAAAAGATCACTATCTCCAGGAAAGCAAGTAAGAAAGATCCTGATTTCAAGACAAATAGGAGCAAAAATGAGTGATTTGAAGAGCCTCACTAAATAATCTGGTAAATTAGTCACAAAAATCAACATGCCTTTGCTATCCAAATTACTTGCCTGTATCAGTTAAAGAGTATACACAAGCCAAACAGAAGATCTTACAGGCTAAGAATTCTGCATCTGTCCTTCTTCATCAGTTACAGCAAATAAATTCCAAGTAAATCCCTCAGTTTTCAAGGAGTTGTGCTGGATTATCACACTTCAGATGAGAACAGAATATGGATCAAAAAAGAACAACGAGCAATGATGGTGGTCCTGCCTTTTCACAGCAAAGCAGCCCATTCTCTGCCAACAGCAGTTAGATGCGCTATGCATGAACTGAAATTACATATTGTAACAGATTTCTTTTAAATTACCATCCCCAGAACAAACCTGGCATGTCGGATAGAAGCAATTGCACTACTGAATTCACTGTCAATGCTTCTACAGTTGTAAAATTCTTCATAGGCTGGCCTGGAAGAGCCTTGATATTCAATGCGGCTGATGCGACATATTCCCACAATCAGAATGATCAGCATCAGGACAAACGCTACGCAGAGCGCCCCAATTATGATGTAAAGGGAGTGACGAGGCATATTTGTTAGACTCTCCGCCATATGCCCGGATTTCCACTGCAGATCTGCCAATAAGAAATAAAAGGTTGTCATTAATTAGTAATTTATAGCCTTCCTACTGAATAGAATTCTTTTATGGTATTCATTTTCAATACTTCTGTGGAGACTTTTGAAGCGAGGGGGATATTTCATTTGAACCTTCCCAGGCTCCCTTATGGATATGTCACCATGCCTAACGTGCAACAAATTTGAAACGCACTATCTTGATCTTTCACCCATGTTTTTTGTAGATTTTTAAGGTCATATAGGAACACTTAGCTAGTTTGATCTCCTGTATAACCCTATATATATATAACCATCTATACTACATATCTATATATAAAGGCATCTAGTTATTCTTGCATTATTTTATAACACACTATACGCTCTCTAAAGGCAGGCAGGTTTTATGTGAAAGCTTCTGGTAATCTACCAATTCTCTGTGCAGTTTGTTCTAATAGTTAGTGAACCCTTCTACTAAATGTGTGATTTAATCTGTATTGGTTTTTAATTTGAAACACAGACTTCTGTTATGCCTTTCTCCACCAGGCTGCAGAGACTTCAAAACCAGCATTTCAAGGACAAAAACGGCATCTCCTAAAGTGCTACAGTACTGAGCCCACTAGAGTCTTCTCAAGCATAATTTCCCTGAGAGGTCTCAAAGCAGACCTTAAAGCAAAGCCAATCTAGAAGAAATTTCTTGTGTTTATGTATTCCAGACCTTCTTTATAAATATTCTTGAAGCCCAAACTATTGTCTCTCAATGACAAACAGATTGTCTATCAATTGCCTATGTCCTCAGATCTGTTTTTCTCTAGCATGGGTCAGAGTATTTCTAATTAGCCTGTACTTCCCTCTAGGGTTCATTTTTGGCAGTCTTTAAGCCTATGGTCTCATAAATTATTTCAAATCAGGAACAGACTTGAATCAGTCTGGCTACAAAAATATGACACTCTGCAAAAGTTATTTCTAGCAGGTGACTGTTCCTGTTTCAAATGGACTTCTGCTTTGCTCTGTTTTAGAAACTCTCTTTACTTAATCACAAACAGTCTCGGAACAGGGCTATAAGCACATGCTTTGGGGGTTTACGATATTCTTAGAAGCCAGTTCTTGAGGATGTTGATGATGGCAGTTAACTGATTTGAGATTCTGAGCTGAAATCACAACTTCAGTGGCAACTGTGGATATAATCTCCATCTATGGTAGAAATAGAGGACAACATACAAGTAGAGAAAAAAAAATATCCATTTTAGAGGACGCAGAGAGAAAGCCTGAAGCTGTAACATGTGGGATTCACCTGGGCAGAGTTTGAAGAAATGGTTGCTCTTTGTTTACAGTAGTAAAGGTTGTCCCGGAGCACCTCTGAGCTTGGGCTTGCTTAGACTTTTTGTCTGCAAATGCGAGCTGACTTTGCAGGACTGCTTGTTTGTGTTATCTTCTTCAGAGGTCAGTAGAGTTTTGATCAGCCTGAATCATTCAGTGATTTCTTTAGTGTTTCTAAAGTACTGCAATCTGCCCGTCGGGATATGAGGGAGAATACAGCTGTGCTCTGTGCAGTTTGGGATGGGTTTCTATTTCTGTTCTGCAGCACATTCGAGACACACAGTGGTTTCTGTCAGGTTGTCAGACTAGGCCACATTCAGACCTAATGTGCGCAGATACATGGCAAGACAGTTCTGATTTAGACTCCGTGTCTTCCATCTCTGGATGATAAGGATGAGAGAAATTTCCCCCTTTCTTCGTCACCAGATAAAAATACGAAGATTAACAGCTTATACTCCAAAAAATTAGAGAGAACATATGACAGCTCAAAATCACACTATTCTCAGTTGTCATAGTAATGTTCATAAAATTAATTAAGAATTAGATTTCAATGTACACCGCAAAGTCTGTACTACAAATACTTTGTAATGTTAGTTTTCAAGTGACCACATGGTTACCTTGGTAACTACATTAATAATTACAAAAGTGGCAAAGGTAATGATACTAACAAATAACCAGCAGGCATTAGAGAACTCATGTAAGATATTTTGTAAGCATTTTTACAGTGAATGCTCCATTAACTTTTCATGCGAATATATTTAATTTTGAAAGGAAAAATATCCTTTATAATTAAGACCAATTTAGTCCTATTGCTAACACTGGTAAGGACCATAAGATGATATAATAAATACCACAGTTCATCCCGGCAACATACTTCTTGTCTAGTTTGTTGTATATACAGCACTTGAAAATTAAAGCGTACAGTTTGACAAGAAGATAACCCTGAAAGTCTGTTAGGGTAGTCAATTCAAGCAGAAAAGCAGCTCATGAAAAAATGGGGAATTATTAATAGTAAATAGAGAGTTGTTCTACAAAAAAGACTAAGTACCAACAGCCTCCTTCATGGCTAGTAAGAAAAAAAATCACAGAAGATAAAATATGATCTCTTTAGTCAAATGACTCCTGAACACCAATTTGTCCCCCTCTTGAGAAGTCTGAAGCCTGGCTTCATTATGTCTTTTTCTAGCATTCAGAGGGTTGGTCCGATACAAAGGAAGCCAGTATGTGGTGTTTAATTTCCAATACATTATTAACTATTATATACAAATTGCTGAAACAATACGACAAATATGACAAGGAGATATGGAAAGATGAATAGAAGCAGATTTACTAATAGATTCAATCTTTAGAGCTGAACAAAAATCCAGTGCACCATTGACTCAAGTCCAGCAAGATCAGAAGTGCTGCACCTGTTCATAGAAGAGCTGGACATGGCCTTTCTGGGTATGATTAGAATTGGGTTCACATCAGTTGGTGAATTCGTAGGTCAGGGACAGTGAGTGGAAAGATCTTCCCATGGATACATAGATCTGTAGGAAAAAATCTGCAGATCAAAGTGCTTTTAAATCCTTTCTGCAAAGCGTTTTCTTCAAAACTCAATCCCTCTCTGTTTGCATAATCCTTTATATACCTGTTAAAATCCAAGTGCCTTAGGAAAACTTCCACAGCTTTGTGTATAAGCCACTGCATTGGTTAGAGAGGCTGCGTGTCCATACTTATACCTGACTATTGTGCAGTAGCCTGGTGTCCCATAACACCACATCATTTTACATTGATGCTGTGTCAAGGTGACTTTAATAGCAAGGGAACAGCAGACATTTGCTGATGTTAAGCTTGTTCAAGAAACTATTGGTAACCCTCAAAATTTAAACTTAATTGTTCTTCAAAATGTATCTTTATGTGCCTATGCAAAGATTTTTTTTTTCCTGTTTTCATTCCTTCAAGACCAATCCAAACCAGAACTTTCTAGGTTGCTTTTTTTATATCTCCTGCACTATTATTATCACATATATACACTCTATTAGCTATCATGATTTCTTGGATTAAAAATACAGTAGTTTCAACCTCTTCAATTGAGAACAATACTATATGATTTATTCTCCAAATATTGAGATGAAAAGAAGAGGTCTAATATTTCTGGTTGAGAATCAGCCTTGCTGAGTTATCAATGCCAGTTAACTCTCAGATAATTCCCTGCCTCCTGTCACAGCAGTCACACGATAAAAGATCAGTCAGTAAAATGCTTAAAACAGCAACAACAAAGTGCTGTTGCTTCTTCCCCTCATTTTAACTTACACAGTTTGCAAGCCTGCAATACAAGCAGAAAATCCAAGTTCTCAAGCAGCAGGCAAGGCCATTGCAGTTCAACTATAAACAGACGCTACATGTAGAGAAGTATGCACTAAGCAGAGACAATCCCCTTGCTCAAGAGAACCAAGTTGAAGCAGAGTTTTATCCACTCCCTCTCTCGTATACTTACAAACAAGGTCAGAAAGGAGTTACTATTGACCAACCACAGCTGAACCTATCTGCCATATACAGTGCTTAGGGGTGTGCATCCCTCACAGGGGGAAGCAGGAATAACTGAGTAGCTGGGCAGTAGAAAAGGCTCCTTCCACCCTCTGTTCCACTTCTCCTACATGGGAAAGTGTTTATATGCACCTCACTACATAACTGTGGTGCAAACAGCCAAACTCTTAGTGACTAGAGCATGACAACTAAAGGATGACTCCAGAACAAGCATCACTGATTTCATATAGCACATCTGCAGGACTCAGAAAGCATGCAGGCCCATCTGTTTCCCTTTGGCATCTATTCATTCCATAACATAACAGAAAAGTAATTGTTACTATATCAAGACACTCCAGGAAGTATGTTTCCAGGAAGATTATTACTTTCTCCAAGAACTACACTCATCTGTCTGTCAGCCCACTACTTATTAGCTAACGCAGGCAGAATTACACTGCTTTGCTGTGTAACCTGGACATGTATGGTTCAGGTGTCACTAACAACAGCACTGTCAGTAAAAGCACAACTGAGCATCCTTTAGCATGAGGGATATTGTATACAGATAACACACAACATTGTGGTCCCGACACCACAATGGTTCTGTGCTACACAGGGAATTGTGTGTGCCATTCACAGAGACAACAAAAAGGCAGTGCTGTCACCATCTCTGGACTAGCTGGCAATGCTCTTCTGCAGTGTTTGCTTTCAACAGAAAGCACTGAAACTGAATTCACAGCCAACAATTACAGGGATAGGAGGTCATAAACCTGTTAATATAAAAATTCTGTGGCAGTCCAGGTGCGAAGAGAGTTGTCTTCTGGGGTTAAAGTAAGGACTAACATCTAGAAGGAACTTAAAAAGCAGTTGGAAAGGTTAAGTAGCATTTCAGTACAAGAGAGTTAAAAGAGAAGCTTGATATGCTCCTTGTGTAAATGAGAAGTAGAGAGAGAAATAGAAAACATGGTTTTTTCCAGCCTTTGTATAGATGTTTTCTCATGAACGTACAATAGGAACTTTCAGAGTCCCTTCTGTTTATTTTTTATTCTACCTCCTATCCCTGCAACATTATCTGTGCTGAATGGTGTAAACCCCCTCACACAAACTTGTGTATCTGTATAGTATCTTGAGCAGATATATGACCACAGTATCTGAGCATTCGAGCAGTGAAATATATGGCTAAACTCCCTAGTAAAGACAACATCTGTAGCCCAAGAGCATGACAACAGGGAAATAAAAAGCAGTTCCATGAGCAGCAGTACCAATGAAGCCTAATTTCTGTTTTAACTCTTCCACAGTTGGGCTTCATACTTTCTTCCTCTCAGGGACTCTCTAGTTGTCCATAAGGGTACACTTACACTGAAGCTTTTCTGTGTACAAAGATGTGAGACCAGACTGAAGATGTTGCTTTACTAGACCCACCAATGGAACCTCTCTAAGTCTTACTAAATGCTCAGGAAACATTTTGTTTTAGAGACCTTTACCTTTCTAACAAATATGGTTGAAATTAGCCTATGGTTGGAAAAGTAATTCCAGAAAAAGTTGGTAAATGCATGCACACACAAGTCACAGCACAATTACACAGGACATATTTCCTTAGGTAAGCAAGTTAAAAATGGTTTTACTGAAACATTACTACAACTGCAGGTGCTCAGATGTCAATACAAGTCTATCAGGACCATGCTTATAGTGCTATGGAAGTACACTTCACCCAAGCTAAGTATGAAAGTAAGTTCTGGGACACAAATGTAATTAAAAGGCAAACTACTTAGTGCCCAGCTGTGAGATCTCTGACAATCTGGTCCAACACATCTCAGAAGTAAGGTACCCAGAATTTTTAGCTTTCATAGCCAATTTTGAAATGTTATGGCTTACAATAAAATGCATTCAACAGAATTTTGGTAATTTATTGATGATTCAGAGTATTTCTGAAGATAGGTATTTAGAGAGAAACATAAATTTCTATATGTTAATGTATCATTTTCAGAAAGTTTTAGGAAACTACAAAACTTACGTATTTCGCAGTTTGCGCCGACCCAGCCATGTGGACAATGGCAGGTGTAACCATCAGGCTGATCTATGCAAGTTCCAGCATGGTGACATGGGTTGCTGTCACAGTCATTTATATCAATTTCACATTCTTCACCTTATATCAAAACAAAACAAAAACAAAACTGCCTCAGATAGCAGGTATTTAATTTTTCTCTAGCTGCAAAACACCTTGGAGCTCAATAACAACATCTTTATTCTCAGAACATCAAAAGTATTCTATAACTGTTCCAAGAAATGTCTCTCATAGCCTCCAAGAAAGAAATATTATCCTCATTCAACCAGATGAAAACAAAGTCTGAAGGCTAAGTGACTTGACTAACCTCACCCAGATCATGGGCATTTCATTTCTTTAAATACAAATTCCATCCAAGAAAATGTGGTATAACAATTTATCACGTATATTCTGAAGTGCTATACAATAACGGAGATATCAGTGCCTCTGAGAAACAGCCACTGTACAACACAAAGCTAAGTCTTTTCCAAAAAATGCCCTTTAATTAGCACAGATCAAAAAGCACCATTTGATCTACAAAACAGCTATGAATGGGTTTATCTATTACTATCACATTGGATATTACCTCACATGACTAACAGAGCATCACGTTGTAAATTATCTTGACAGCAGATATTTGGATTACACTAATCGTGTCAGTTTAAAGGCCAAAGGATTAAATGGTCTGCTTACCATTACTCTGAAAGTGTAAATTGATTCGTAACAAGCACTTTAGGGCTTTTAGCAATTGCATATTAAGGTAACAGAATGAGTTGTTTCTTCAGCTTGTAGTAACTAAGGTCAAGGTTAAAACATTCTCCAGTTTCAACAGTGTCCAATTAGTATATTGGCTTACTGGGAAGTCTTCAAAATGTTATTTTTAAAACGCAATCTAGTCTCAAGCAGTAAGGTCTTAAAGGCACGTTAAATAGCTGTTAGCTTAGTGAATTCTCTTCAGTAACAGGCTTTTTTTTTTCTGCAAAATTTTTGAAGTTCAAAGTACTTGCAAGTAATATCAAGAACTTTTCATTCTCAGTAAACTGATTACAATTCAGCAAAGTCCAAATTAATTTGTTTCCTTGAAGAGACAAAGTCTTACTTGGTATTTGTCTTCTTTTAGACACAGTGAACACTGACAACTAGACATTCTGTGTAACGTACAAATTACTTGCCTGTATATCCAGGTGCACAAATACATGTAGCATTTAGACCTTCACTGTCACAAGTGCCACCGTTCTGACAGTTGATGTTAACACAAGGATCTTTGTATAATTCACAGTGCCTTCCTGAAAAGGTAAAATTAGTAACTGCCATTAACATGACCTATACCGACAGCATGATCAGTACATGCACTAACTTAACTTCACGTGGATGAGCACAATGATGTACAGCCTCCACACCTGTCTTGTTAGGCTCATGCCTAAATGTACGACTAAAGCCATGTATTTTATGGCGGTTAAACTTTCACACACATGCCTCCTCTTTGCTCTTCCCACCCACTGAGGCTTTGGGACAAGAGAGGTAGGGCAATTTCTGCTAACAAGAACTGCTGGAGTTTCTATGAAAAAATAACGATATAATAAAGCATAATCTGATCACCTATCTAATACTCTTCAATAAAATGTAAACAATAATTGTATTCAGTAAGAATTTTATATATTTATATTAACTTCTTTAATAATATACATAAGCATTCTGATGCCTCTCATTGACCTTTGTGGCAAACTTAAGCGTATAGCTAAGGCAATAAAAAGAGAAATTACTTTATTCAGATTTGTAGCTAAAAGTAACTACCTTCAATCTCTCATTCTCAGGTGTAGGCTATGTGAATTCAGCAGCTTTGCCTGTCAGAAGACAGTGCAAGACTCCTGTGGCACACAGAACAAAGCACGGCAGATTCCCACCTGGGGATGGGGAGAGAGGCTCTACTGCCACTGCTACATGTATGATTTTCTCTGGATCTACTTTTCAGATAGAACTAGAAAAATCAATACAAGAATTATCTAATCAGTGCATGGATGGCACTGAAACATGAAACAAAATAAACGTATATATGTGAATAATGAATGATTAGTGGGATTTCATTTACAGTGTATCTACTAGAGTGAAATTAGCTTGCATTTAAAATACCTGCTTAAATGTATCCATTCATGTAAGTTTTAAATCTAGGTCCTATTACCATTTTTTGATTGGGAATGAATACAAAGCGACCACTTAGCTAAAATTGTAAATTATCTTCAAGTTTTCCCATTCTTATACTTTTTGCAATAATTTCAACAAACTGAAGAGCAGGACAGGTTTCTGAATGCTTCCATGTGGTTACACTTACAAATTACAAACACATCTTTCACTTGTAAAGGTGGTTCATGTTTCTAAATTCTTATAGTCCTGCAAACTGTAAAGATGCATAATCAATAGAAGCATAAACTCATATTGTTTATTACGTATAAAAACCACAATGCAGCTTGTGCATCGGGAATATGTTTCTAATCACGAGGTAGTGAATGACAGCAAAGGAATTTTGATGCTTGTGAAGATGGCAGAACCTACAATGATGGAGGACTTGAAGAGGTTAGATAAATATATGTGAAAAGCAGACATGCAGCTGATCCTGCCTTACTCCTTCCCAACCTCTTTCATGAACATCAATTGTGTTGCACTGGAGTTGGGCACTTTGTGAATTTGAATTTAGAGAGTTTGAGATGCAGAACTACATAGCGGTGAAATTAGTGAGAAAATAGGGTCTTTAGAGAAAAGAACACGAAAAAGAAAAATCAATACAAAAAAGGAAGAAATTGGACACATGGTATATCAGATGTATGTACACAAGCAAATTTATTTAATGAGTGAACGATTAAAAGGAATGAACTTAGTTCTCTGGTGTTCAACACTGCAGTTCTGTACAGCAATGTAAACTTACATGAATTATACAAAACCAATAATTTTAAGTTAATAGTGATAATTTAAAAAAATATAAAAGCAACTTATTTTAATTTCATTTTAAGTATATATAGATACACACACGCGTACTCACTTGCTACAGACCTGCTGAAATCATTTGGTCAGTCTGTCAGCAGCAGAAAGGCAGGGCACTCTGGTCGGAGCACCCTGCAGCTAAGCAGAAGGCAGCAGAGCCAGAAGCCCCCGGGTACCTGCTGGCAGCTACTTCAGTGCAGACCAGCGATAACAGCTCTCGCCTGCGCGCCAGCCAGAGAGCTGTGGGGAGGCGGGGGGTGGCGGCACAAGCGGGGAGGTCTGGGTTGCTGGTGGCAAAATTGAGGCCTCTAACGGCCCACGTAGTATCTCGAGCTGAGTACCTCAGCTCTACTCATTAGCGTCACCGAAAACCTTAAGTATGGGAACGAAGAAAGCTCAGTAATAGCAAAAGCTGCGGACGGGACCAGGTGCCCTGCTTTCAGCTGAAGCAAAACGTGCTGCGCGCACGGTGCTTTCAGCTGCACCTGCAGGTCGGTTGAGAACATCATATGAGACTGTCATAACATTACGGTTAAGTGCTCTTTAAGCTGTCATGAAAAGCTGAGGGTCATTTCCTCACTAAGCCTCTAAAATGATGAATTCTGTATCTATTGTCAAAGAGCAGTGCAAGCACCAGCATGAAATGCGTATTTAGCCTCAAGCAGCTGTTAAGTGAGCGTTACTTATCAACACAGATAAGGACTGATTACTCTTAATGAGAAAATGCTGGGGTAATGTTCCTTAAAACATAGTCATTCTATGTAAAATATATATGCTTTTTAATAGTAATAACATATAAAATTACGTTCAAAATGTTCTCACAGCATGACTTGAAACAGCGTACACAAAAAAAAGTATCATTTTAGTCCTCCACAGAGGAACGTCACAGAGAGCTCATATGTGCTACGCTGTGTAAAGCTGAAATCTACTGCTAGATAAAAGATTTTGTATAGCAAAACACATACTTTTCTGCTCTATTTTGTAAATTACTTAAGAAATGCCAAAGACCACTTCCATTTGAACATATCTAGAAATAGCTGCTGTCAACACATGAACACATGAACGCAGTCACAGACCTACTCCTGTCTCTGGGTTTTATGGTCTTCTAAATGACCAATCAACATAAAATTTTCATTTTTACTCCTTTGTGTTAATCTGCTTCAAATACTAATCTTTTGATATTATGTTTTTAACTCACTTCACTGGAGAAAATAAATTAAAAAAACAAATTGGAAAGCCCTTCGTGTAATGGCTCAACAATAACTGATAAAAAAATTGTATTTAACAGTTATGTTTTCTTTTAAAAACCCATCACTTTATAATATATCTTAAAAATAGCAGGAAAAAAGTATTCCTAAAAAAACCAGAGAGAAGCCGTTTGTCCCCAGACAAGGACATACATTTCTCACAGACCAGCTAAATCTGAACTACTCATTTGAATAAAGATCATGGGATCAGGATCTACATTGAAGTTTGTTTCCATTCATTTTAGATGTGGGATTTATTACTGCTCAGTGGAGGATATTGTATAGCTCTGTTTGTAACAGAACCTACCATAAAAAAATACGCAGAACAATTCAAGAAACAAGAGGGAAAACCCATCTTACCCTCATATTCGGCAAGGCAGACGCACTCATAGCTATTGACGAGGTCTCTGCAGGTGGCTCCGTTCTGGCAGGGTGCAGAAAGGCATTCGTTGTATTCCTCTTCACAGTAAAGGCCGTGGTAACCTAAATCACACAAAGAGGACATGAAACAAGCTATGACACACAACAGTTAAGCAACTATAGATTGTGGACAGATGCTTGCTCATTGAAATATACTGTGCAGATGGATACACGCTAAGATGTTGATTTTTAAGGACATCTGCTCCCCAGGTGAAAATACCAAAAAAAAAATCCTGGAAGCAAAATGTTATGAGAGAAGCCCCAGCCTCAGCGATTAGCCCCAGTGAAGCCATAAACACCGAGGCTGGTGACCAAGCGCACCACGAACAATGCAAATCACCACAGTCTGATTGTAAAGAGGAATAAACTCGTATCGACCTATCTCCTAGCTTTCTTGGATCCTTGCATCAAAGCCACCTTTCATCAGTGGTGATAATTGTATAACAGATAATTTATTTTAATTTTAACACTGCACAACATCAAAACACTGTAGAAGCATTAAGATACTTAATTTTTACACTATTCTCAAGCTGTAGGCAGGTATTATGGTCTGATTATGCAGACAAAGAAAGTAGGAGCACAGAAAAGCTATGAGACCTGCTAATGGCCACTGAGTCATTTGTGTTATGAGGTAAAAAATAAGGAGCTAATCCACTTGAAATACCACTTTTCTCATTATTTAGTGTGTCATACGATCATCAGTCTTAACAGCAGCTGAAATGACTTTCTGGATATAGTGTATCAGGTCAAAGTAGTATCTACTCATATTAAGTAACAGCATAAATTAGTATAATGTACCAGCAGAAATAACTAGCTGTAATGCTAAAATATGTTTGCCTGATATATTGGTTACTTAGTATTAAATATGAAGAATCATTAGCCTGGTAATTTTGAAGACTATGAGATTTGATATCAAGAAGCTTATTTAATTCCTCTTCAATAGACCCAGGTTACATTTTTGTTCATTAAAAGCTTCCTCTCTTCTTTCTTTTTACTTTTTTCCTTTTTTTTTTTTTTTTTTTTTTTCCTTTTTTTTTTTTTTTTTTTTCCTTTTTTCTTTCTTAAGGTAGGGGCTTTCCAAATCAGAAGCAATGTCTAAATTTATAGGCAACACGTCAACAAGAAAAAAAAGAAAATAGATTGGTCATAATGCCTAGTAAGTACAAATAATGCACTTAAATGCACCATAAGAACTGCCTTCTCCCTGATAGACAAGGATTAGCACAGAAGAATTGTAAAACTGCCAGTGTGTTTGACCAATGAAAAAAGTATGGGCCAAATTACTCAAGTCTTTCTCAACAGTTTTCCCCTTCTTTGGGGCACAGGGAGTGCTTCATAAATTAGCCAAATTACCTCTAGGGGAAGGTTCAGAATTTAATATATTAAACAAAACATGTTCTTACTTTTTTGAAAGTACAAATAGTACAAATATTTTTACTAAAACATGCATCTTTCATAATGTTTACCCCCTTCCTGGAAATTACAGCAAATAATTGAGTGACCAGACTTTTGCATTTTCTACATCTCTTCAACTGCTAGCTACGTGCTGCTAATAATTGCAAGTCAGAGCATCTGACTTGGGGCATCACACAGCCTACCTCCCTCTCAATCAAACCAAAGACCACGCAGTTAACATCAACTGAATTGACTGGATAATTAAGATAAATTAGTGCTTCAGATGTTTTAGTAAACGGTTTAGTTTCATGAAACCATAGCACCATCTCTTCTTTACCCACCCAATAAAAGGTGAGGATCGAAATTCTACCCCATTCTACTGTCCACAGAGTCATCCCAGAAGCACTTCGTATGCAGTGGTGACTGCAACACATTTTTCCTGTTGGCTTGTTACTTTATAATATTTGCCTGGTACTGAAAACATAGACTGCGAAATTTTTTATTTCTTTTAAACAAAATCTTGCCTCTATTTGTCCACTTTGCTCAATGTTCTTGAAATTTCATTCTGATGAAGGTCGATATTACAGCTTTTAAAAAAGCAGTTTCAAATATGCTTTCATATTAAAAGCACTGTTTCACAAAGAACAGTCATACAGAGAAGATATGTCATGGTATGTTAACAGTACATAAAGACACTCTTCCCACACACCTACCATGAATTAATTTTGGTTAAATCAGTTAAACATTTAACCTTCTTGACTCATCATAGCTAACACTCCCCTTGGCCTCCTATTAATGTGATATAATACGACGAATACGTACTTGTAATCTATAATATAATACCATGCATTGGAACAGTGTTTCTGTGGGGTTTTTTAAATCCTGATTTACTCATTACATATAGCTGTGAAAGCAATAGATGAATGAGCATACAATGAATAAAGATGCCACAGAAAAGGCCTAAAAAGCAAAGCGTAGATTCTGCAGTGTGATCTTTCTTCTTCAGATAATCTCTAGTTACTAGCAAAACTAGAGACATGAGATGTGGGTATCTTTCACGAATAAAGAACCAGAGAGGGGTAGATTCTCATCTCAGTAAGTGGCAATCTACATTCACTCTCCTGGTCTAAGTTTTTCCCAAAATTCTCACAGCACCATAGAAAATATGACAAATGCCAACCCCAGACACCATTTCCACCCCCTTCCCTCTTATGGATAATTTAAAATAAAACTGTATGAAGATACAACAGATGTTAGTACTACACAAAATGTATATGCAATATTACCCATTTGATTTTGCACAAAATAGTCTTTTCATAGTAAATAGTTAGTTGGACTAGTAGCTTAAGAAACATTTCAGAACCACTTTCTCCAAAGTTGTTAGCCAGGCAATACAGAATTAATTTTGCTAAATGTTAGGGGGTTTTTATTAGCCTATGATGAATTTTATCTAGCTTATGACAAAGGGAAATATCCTTATGTCGTGACAACTGTAGCCAACATACAAACCACCAAAATCAGAAAACTTGAAAGAAAAACGTATGGGAATTCCCTGTGTTGAACACATATGTAATTAGATATTTTGAGGGGAAAAAAAAATGTTGTCCACGTGTTACACAAGTCTCATCTTTCAAAGGGAGCAGAGGGAAATTTGTGACTAAAGAGTTGTCTGGTGTCCAAAATCAATATGAACTATCGTATCACCTCCTCAGGATTAAGACAGCCCACGCTGTCAGACACTGCACACAGTGAGGGAAAGATATTTTCTTTCTCCACGAGAGGGCAGATCTCGCCCACACACAATTTCGCCCTCATCGTCCTCACCCTGGCGCCAGCAGCTTCCTTCTCCTGTGATGGGAATGGAGAAAGTTCTGCTGTGGGACCAGGCACCCGAGGCAAAGACGCGTTTCTTCTCATAGAGCCAAGAGGCACCATATAATTCTTAACAAGCGTTTCTCTTTGAATTACTGCTTTCAAATTATACTGATATATAAACCAAGTATTATACTGAATTCATACATATATCCTCAAAAAGACTACATAAATAATTTAGATGGAAACAGGAAAAATTTTCATAGATAACTTCAGAATAACAGGCTCTAGTATAGTTGCTTCCTCTCTTTCCGGTAACATCACAATTCCGCTGCCTTTACGTTCACAAGCAATGCCAAGTACAGCTATTTGCATCTTTTGTAGCGTATAACATTTCTGTGGACATATGCAGAAAGAAATAAATAATGCCTACATTCACAGCACTTCTCCAGCTGCTGTGTCCTCAGCAGGGAAGAGACCACATTGGGCACTGCAGCTTCAAGAAGGGCAACTAATATTATTAAACTACTTTTTTCCAGGTCACTAGAAATTGTATAAGCCTTCAATAACAGCACCTTCACTTGCCAATGATGGCCCTGTTCTGATGTGCTCTCTTCAGAGGCTGGGGAATGGACAGGGAATGTAAAAAAACCCTAAAATAAAGATATCCCTATGTTACCTCTTCTTCCTCTGCATGACTGCCCTTCTGCTACTGGTCTTCACAAAGGCAGGAACAGATCTGTTGCCACTCTACTCTGGATCCCCAAATCTTTCTTTGTCTTTTTCGCTTTCTCAAGCAACAGGGAGGCTGCCTTGGAGGCCAGGATATATGCCTGATGCTCTCTGGCATGGTCTTCAGACAGCTACATGCCAAGGCTATGTTAAAAACTGCAGAGGGAGAAAACATGAAAGGGAACACAGCATCTCTGTCATCAGCCTGCCATGGGTTTTGTCAAAGCCTTCAAGAGCAGTGGACAGAGCACAAGATACAGCAGTGCTTGTCAACGTCTTCAGAATATGCACTACTATCAGGTTAACAAAAGAGAGAGGGAGAAGCTTACTAGTCTCTTTATAAATCAACAAAGACTAAAGTTGAAAGGTTTTGAGGATTTCGTAGACCCTAGCTCCTCAACAGTGACTCCCTGGGCCTATCCACACTTAATGCTTCAGCAAATCAAGGAAGCAGGACAAAAAAATCCCATCTTTATGGGAAGACCTAATGGGATACAATGGAGATTTATTCTGCAGGGAACAGCAACAATTCATATGTGGCCACTCACTAAGACAGTTGCATGTTATATAGTCAAGAAATAAATGTGTTCAGTTAAAGTCTGAGCTTATATAGCAATTAAATAAAAGAGAGAAGAGCTGCTCCACACGGCAGGACGGTAGAAAAGCATTCTTACCAGCCATGGCCCGATTGCGTGGAGAGCCTGTCTTAATGTAGAAGTGGAAACAAGATGAGGAAACAGGCAATGAAGGGCTCACAGACAGTCTGGAAATGGAATTAACCTGAAGTCACTTCTGCCAGAGCTTGCATTTCCTGCCCCAGTTCCAAAATGTGGGAAGGGAAAAGACAGAAACAAGAAAAATTGCTACTGCTACAGCCAAATGCTGCATTTGCCTCTGCAAAGGCACTGAGATAAACCTACTTTCCTATAACTATCTGTTAAGCTACATGAGCAAAAAATCGAGTGCAGAGAAAATATTCTCCACAGTACTACTTCTGAATTTGCCACCATTCTTCATACCCTGTGGATTTTTTTCTGACACTCCTTCCCCCCCCCCCCGAAATGTTCAGTATGTGTGCTATCATATATATTTACTAGGCAGAGGGCAGGTGTTAATGTCTGTAC